CCCTGGCTTGGCCACTCCAGGCAGACTGCCCTCTGGCCTTCATGAGTCCCTCCCTTCCCCTCCCTCCATCACACCCTGCCCTGTGGCTACATGGTCCTTGCCTCCCAATCTCCTCCCTTCTCCCTCCTGCAGCCCAGGCTCAGCAGATATTCCAGATCTTACACATCTGAATGGAGAGTGCCCTTTAAAGAGCCTCACTTTGCACAAGTGTTCAAACTATGTTTGGAACTCTTCTTTCGAAAGCCTGTTCTCAGATAAGAAAAATGCTTTCATTGGTTTAGGCAGAAGCTGAGCTGCTGCCTACAGAGTGGGCTCTTGGAAAAGCTGGATGAGTTGCCAAGAGATAAAAACTGGTGTCACGTACAAATTTAGATTTGTGGCCTCTGCTAAAAACAGAGAAAATGTGCTGCCCGAGCCTCCTACCCACAGGCCCCCAAGCCACCTCCGTAGAGATGGGCATGTGTTTGGTCACCACAGTCCCCACCACCCCCGGGGGTACAATGGCTCCTTCACTTGGACCCACCCTGCTTGGCCCTGTACGTAGCTAAGCAGGTTCCAGGCCCCACTCAGACACACTCTCTCCTGACCCAGATCTGCCATCACCCCTGCTCACACCCCATCACCCGATTTCTCTCTCAATGTTTGTTTTTGGAACAATCTTCCCAAGAGCGTGCCCAGGTTCTGAGGGGACCTCCAAGAGGAGCTCAGGCATGAATGAAGCAATAGCAACGCCCCTCGTGTTCCTGTCTAATCATCCAGGGAGCTCCTTTGAAGAATGTTCATTGGAAATGGAAATTGGGTCTGGTCCCTGGCAGGGTAAGGGAGCTGGAGAGCCAGGAGGTGCAAGCAGGGCCCTGGGGAGCTCCACGAGGCCCCCCACCCTGGGGGGCTAGAGGCGCAGTGCACCTCGCCTCCCGCCTTCCTGTGGGAACGCACCTGCGGGCCTGGATAAATCGCTTCACCAGCGTCATCTTGCTCTGCAGCTGAGCCAGCTTGGTCTCCTGGTCCAGGGGGCTCTTGGCTTTGGCCTTGGACAGGCACTTGTAGGCCTCAGTCAGAGCCCCATGGGCTTTGTCGTAGTTCTGGTATTCATCGATCTCCACCTGTGTGAATGAAACTCTCAGGACCAGAAAGCCCACAACCTGCCCCGAGGCCCCCAGAACTGCAAAGAGGGGCTCTACCTGGGCACAGGCATCGTAAAAGCCAGCCAGCAGGTCCAGGGCCCGCCCCTTGGTGTAGAAGCTAATGATGTTCTTCATGGTCTCCGGCTCCTTCCGCCAGTCCAGGGACTGCAGGTAGTTGGCGGCCATGATGTAGATTTCCTTTTGCCTCGAGACACCCGCGAAGAACACTATTTTCTCCGTGTCCCCAGACTTGAGCAGAGCTCTCATGGCCTAGACAGAGAAGGAGCCAGGACCAGGCTAGAAGCTCATAGAGTGAGAAGCTCACTGCCCCGCTGCAGCAGACACCACCTGCTGGGTCCAGGAGCAAGTTCAGGACTCTGCCCTTCAGAGCCTGGGTTGGGAAAGGTCACCCCTGCTGGGTTAAACTCGGGACAAATGGAAAATCATTGCTGCGGGCACATGTTCCTGCAGGCGGTGCAAGAGACTGTACCGGCCTGCTCACCTTGAGCTTGTTCCCGGCCTGCGTGTACTTCTTGGTGGCCAGATGGTAGTTGCCCTGGCGCATGCAGCAGTTGGCGATCTGTTCCAGCAGCTCACGCCGCGACTCTTCGGACAGGTCCGTGCAGTCCTTGGACACAGTCATCTTTTCGGCCATCTCCTCGGTGATGGTCATGTTCTGCTCCAGGCAAAGCTGTAGGGCTTCCTGATACTGGGAATGCATCACAGACACCGAGATGGGCAGTTACTCTCCCACCTGCCGCCTCAGAGGAAGCCAGGCTCAGGGGTGGCACGTGACTTTCTCTCATGCTATGAACATTCTGGAATGCAATGAAGGAAATGTGGAGCTCAAAAGAATCTTATATTTGTTGTGGGAGGAAAAGGAAAAGAAATTTCCTTCTATAATTCTTTTCAAATTTTTCAATTGAGGGTTTTAATTAATTTTCTTTAAAAATTTTAAGAAAAAAGTTATATTCTTCACTTAAGAATATGTCTTGGGAAAAAAAAAGAATTATGTCTTAGAGACGATTCCATCTCAGTATAGAAGGAGCTGTACTTTCTTTTTGATAGCTGCCCAGTACTCCACTGTACTGAGAACCACAGCTTATTTAACTCATCCTGCTGACAAACATGGAGGTGCTTGTCTTGCTGGTACAGCCCTTTGCCAGTCTGATGTGTATAAATGTGTTCTTAGGACGAATTCTGAGGACAAGAAGTACTAGGTCTAGGGAGATATAACTTTACTTGTGACAGGCTGTTTCCATCCACAGCCTGAGTTTATCTATTTCCCATGACAATCTACCTTTAAGAGCCTAATTCACGAAAAATGGAATCTCCTTGAGTTTAGATCTGTATTTCTCTTATTATGAGTGAGACTGAGTATCTAACTTTCAGGAACCATCCATGTTTCCTTTTAAAAATAAACCGTCCATATTATTTGTTCTTTCCTTTTGAGTCTTTGGTAACTTTCTTACTAGATTATAGGAACTCTGTACATATTCAGAAAATTAGCTTTTCGGGATATATATTTTTTCCATGTTATTATTTATCTTTGCTTTGTTTATGGTGTTTTTTCCATGTACTATTTTCAAATCTGTATTTGGTTGAATTGATCAGTCTTTCCTACTATGGCTTTCAGGTTTAAATTAAAATGCCTTCCCTCATTTAAGACTGCACAGTAAGTAAGATACACCACGGCTTCTAGTAGAACTACTGCTGTTTTATTGATATGCTTAAATCTTCGACCCATCAGGAATTTACCTGGACATAGGAGATGAGTAAGATTTAACTTTTTTTCCCCCAGTGGCTACCTGGTTGTCATCAACCCCAATGATTCATCTTCTCTCCATTGTTGTGAACGCTCCTGCATCACATGCTAAATGTGCAGACATATATGGTTCTACTCCTGGATTTTCTAATATTTTCCACTGATCTATAGGCCCGATCAAGCGCCAGGCCCCCATTATTCTACTTTTGATATACTTTATGATCTGAGAGATTTAATCACCTCTTGTTAGTCTTCTTTTCCAGATTTTTTCCTGGCTATTCTGGTTTGTCTGGTTTTCACTGTGAAACTATAGAATACACTTATCTAGCTGAAGAAAGCTCTGTGGTGTTTTTCCTGGGGTCAGATGAAGTCTGAGACTGACTGCTTTAGGGAGAATCAGATGTATATCTGTTGGGTCTTTCTAACCAAAAACATGGTGGGTGCCTTTTCATTTGTTCAAGAATTCCTGTATCACTCAGTAACAAAGGACAGAACTGCATAGTTCTGGCTGCAGGAAGAAAGATCTTTCCACTTAGATAGGCTGATTTTTATGATTAACAATTTTCTATATCTCCATTTAGTTTCTATCAAGGGGACTTGTTCTACTTTAAAAACAATTAGTACACATACCTATGAGAATGACTACTGTCAAAAACTAGAAAATAACAAGCGATGGTGAAAATATGGAGAAATTGGGACCCTGTGCATAGTTGGTGGGAATGTGAAATGGTACAGCCACTGTGGAAAACAGTATGGCAGTTCCTCAAAAAATTAAAAGGGAGTTGTCATATGATTTGGCAATTCTATTTCTGGGTAAATACCAAAAGAATTGAAAGAAAGGTCTTGAAGAGATATTTGTATACTGATGTTCATAACAACATTATTGACAATAGACCAAAGGTGGAAATAACCCACGTGTCCATCTATGGATGAATTGATAGACAAAATGTGGTCTATACATACAATGGAATATTATTTAGTCTTAAATAGGAAGGAAATTCTGCAATATGCCACAATATGGATGAACCTCGAGGATATAATGCTCAATGAAATAAGCCTGTCGCAAAAGGACAAAAACTGGATGATTCCACTTATATGACACCCTAGAGCAGTCAAATTCATAGAGACAGAAAGTAGAATGAAGGGCACTGGGGCTGGGGGAGATGGAAGGGGAGTTATTATTTAATGGAGACAGTTTCAGTTTGGCAAGATTAGTTTGGAGGTTAGTTGCATGACAATGTGAATGTACTTAATGCTACTGAACTGTACACTTAAAAAACAGCTAAGAGGGTAAATTTTAAATTTCACGTTATGTGTACTTTACCACACACAAACAAGATGAGCGAAACTCCCTAGTTAGAATTTGAAGACACTGGCGAAATGGGCAGTGAGTCCACACTCGGGTCGGCTGTGACGAGGTGAGCTTGTCCTCAGCCGCTTCACCTCAGGCAGGCCAGAGCCACAGCCTTCCTCATGAAATTGTAATCAGGAGAGACAGTAAAGCTGCGTTCACTGTGTTTGTGGAAACAGTGACCCCGCCGACCCAATACCTTCTTGGCAGCCAGTAGCAGCTCCACCGCCTTCTCATACTGACTGTGCTCAAGGAAGAAGTCCGAGCAGCGGGCTAGGAGGGCAGGGTCTGACTTCTCGTCCAGGTCTTCTGCGATGAGCTGCAGGGCCACAAACTGCTGGGTGGCAAAGGCCAGCTCCAGGGCCTTGGAGAAGTGGCCGGCCTGTGGACAGCAGGGGAACTCTGAGCAGCTACCCTGAGCCCCAGGCTCCAAGACCACTTGAGTGGTCCCCTTGCACACAGGTAAGTCCCCCTTGTGCTGTGCCCCCTCAGGTCCAGGGCAGGGCCAGCCCCTTACCTTGTGGTACAGCATGACCGCCCTGTCCATCTGTTTGCCCTTCTCCTCATAGTAGCGTGCCGCCTCGATCATGTCCTCGGGGGAGCTCAGCAAGGCCAAGTTCATGAGCTGGTCATCCAGGCTGTTCTCCTGAGGGGAGGAGGGGGTTCCTGCTGGGTCTGTGAACAGTGCCATGGGGGGCCCACCTCCCTCGTGTGACATGCGCTGATCCATACTATCGTGGTTTCCAGCAAGTGTCATAATGTCTTATTAGGTTTGTGTACCAGAATTTTCAGAGGCTTCCTTCTTTTCCTGTTATACAGAACATTATAGGAACTATCTGATGTGAGGGCTTTCCACATTTTGGATTTTTCCAGAGGTGAGGGGCTGGGCTGGAACATTTTTATGGATGTAGAACGTCCAACAGTTTCCTGTGAAGGGCCGCCTCTTTACGAGGCCATAAGCAATGAGCCAGCCTCAGTGTGGGCTCAGGAGCCCTGGATACTAGGTATCATCGCAGTGACAACTCTGTGGTTTACAAACACCATCAGAGAGGAGACGGGGAAGGAGGGGTAGAGATGCATGCGGCAGGCAGAGTGGTAGAAACAGTCCCAGGTGTGGGATGTGACACGCATGATAGAATTCTCTAACTTTTCTGTTTGGAAATCTCAATGGAATGCGGGAAACGGTAACGAAACACCATTTTCCACCAATGGGTTTAGCCATCAGAGGCTGCGGGCCCCCATCCACTGTCCCGTGAGTGGTGCGTGCAGCCCCCTACCTTGCACAGACGGATGGCGTTGTTGAAGGCCTGAGCCCGTGTGTAGAAGTGCACTGCCTGTCTCACCTCCTCCTGGCTCTCATACTGCCGGGCCAGGTGGTAGGATGCAGCCCAGTTTCCAGTCTCATTGGCTATTTCAGCAGCCTAGAAAGATACCAGAGAGGCCTCGGGGACTCTGGCTCTGGCTCATTTCCCCCGTCCCACCCCCCACACCCCCGCCCCCCACAGGCCTGACTCCTGGAATGTACCTTACCTTCTGAATGTTGCCCTGGAAGCAATGAATGCGGACTAGGGAGAAGTAGTCCTGTGCCAGCTCATAGTAGCGCAGTGCGGCATCCATCTCTGCCTGGCTCTCCAGGTACTGGGCCCACCACCTCCATAGGGTCCTGCGAATAACCAGAAGTTCTCCCTCAGGTCCCCACTCCTGCTGGAAATGAGCCCCCAGGTCCCAAACGACACCCTCATAGTGCACTTCCCATGACCAGCAGCCAGGAGACATGGAAGCTAGATGGATAAGAGTGAGGTCTCTGGGGTCTGCAGGAACTTCTTTCAGAGGAAGAGCCTCCGCCTGGCACCCCGAGGACCCACTCTGAAGGACTGAAAGGATGCTTCACACTCTCACACGTGAATCTTCGGAAAGAGGCTTCCCAAGCAGCCACAGGTCCCTGGCCCCCCATATGCAATCCCAGCCTCCGCCTGCCACAGCCCCTTGCCTAGGAGGGACACTCACTTGTCCTTCATCTTATTGACATACAGCTCTAGGGACTGCAGGTCCTCCGAGAGCATCCTGGGCACCTCGAAGCGGTGGGTGTCTGACTTCTCGTAGCTGCGAGAGGAGAGAAAGAGCAGCTGGTTTCCACCGTCTCAGTCCCGGTGTTGACCGCGTGGAAACAGGCCAGCGCTTCGCTCCCCCGCCCGCAGCTCTGCGGCCCATGGACTCACTGTTGGGAGGTACTGGGGCTTCTGTATTGCTATGGGCCTGCCCTGGAGAGGGCTCAGCTGTGGCTGGGCCCCTGGAAGCCACCATTAGCACTGCCATATGTGGCACCATGCCAGATTGGGGCTGTGGCAACACTAGCAGCTGATCCCAGGCCTCAGAGAAGATTTGCCTTAACATGCCCAACATCTGGAGCCAGGCCAGGTGGAGTGGTGGCCCCATAAATGAGGTTCTCCTACAGCAACAACTCAAGTTCCCCTTGAAAGCCTCCCACTGAGGAGGTCACCACCTGCTCCTCCGTCTAGAATCTTCCTCTGAAAACCTCAATGGCTACCTCACTGGGCAGGAGAGAAAAGCAAGAGGCGACCAGGGCCCATCCCAAAGCAAATCCAGAGGGGCCCCTGCTCACTAGTTGAGGGCTAGACTGCAGTTGGTGCTGGCCTCCAGGTGCTTGGCGTAGTTGTAGTAGGTGGTGCGCAGGTGGACACGGTCATGGAGTTCAGCGACTTCTATGGCTTTTTGCCACTGACCGGAGGCCTGGTAGAGCTTGTTGAGTAGGTCGTAGCGCTTGCATTTCTTGTACAGCTGCTCGGCCTCCTCCTGAAGAAGCAAGTACACACATGAGCCCAGTCACCGCTCTGCCTACCGCGGGTGCCGCACATGCCATCAACCAGCCCGTGACAAAGATGCATAACACACTGAGGACATATGGACATTTCAGGACATGTTTGGAGATGTACAAGATGAATGCCACATGCCAGTGTGGCAACCCCGTCCCTAGAAAGAGCTGACTCCACTCAGGCCTGTGTCTAGTGGGAATGTCCCTGTGTGCCACGAGGGAGGAGACCCCGCCTGATGCAGCGTCCTCAGAGCGACCTGCTCTCACCCCTACAGACCAGGGGCCGAGGGCTGTGCTCGGGTGTGCTCGGATCCTCCCTGTGGCAGACATGTGGGTGACTCCTGCCCTCCTTTCAGAGGGTCTATCCCCCACAGCCCCCATGTGGCCTTGGGTCATCTGAGCTATGCTCACCCTGCCCACCAACTCAGCCTCTGCCTCCCATGTTTTATCAGCCTCTTTGGACCTCCTGGGGTACAACGGTCAATAAGCTCCATAAATGTGCAGTGGACAGGCAGGCGACCCCACACAGGTGAGACTGGCCTTACACCCCTTTTTGACTTAAGTTGGTTCAAGAGGGTTTGTGTTCCCTGAAACTGACTGGCCCAGATAGGCACACACCACGCCCTCTCTTCCGAGGTTGGCCAAGCAGGACTTCCCGCTCCCCACCCCAGCCCGCCTCCCCGAGAAAGCCAGTAGTGACCTCACCACCATGGCTAAGGCCTCTGCCCCAGAGCCCAGCTGGCCAAGCAGTGAGGAGCTCCCTCTCAGCAGGAGGCCCTTCCATCCGCTTTCTGACTCACCAGCATGCCCAGCTGTATGGCCAGCATGGCCACGCGGGCCTCCATCTCTGGCTCCTGCTCAGCCTCCCGCAGTGCTCGGGCTCCACGCGCGTGGCCCATGTTGCCCAGGCACACCTTGGCTACGTCCAGCCGCTGGGTCTTCACACACACGCGTGCCATGTTCTCCCACACGGTTTCACTGTGGCAGAGGACAATGCAGCTCTGTTAGCTTCTAGCCCCTCAACCTCAGGCCCCACCAAGACCATTGCCAGACAGTGCAGACACCTGTGGTCATCAAAGAGGAGGACGTGTGGGAGCTTAATGGCTCTACCCGTAGAGCAACACGGCAAGCCAGGAACCACGTCATCTTCCAGAAGAAAACACACATGTCCCCTGGGTCCCATGCCTGGTGTTCTGCCTCTCATGGCCCCTGCTCCTAAGGAGCCCTGGTTCCCTCCCGTAGCCCCAGGCTTCCAGTCGACCATGGACAGGTCCCATTAAGAGAGAGAAGAGCCTTCTGTGCAGATTGACAAAAGCCCATGTCTCTTTCTTGCCTCAGTAGGTCCATCTGCCCAGCAAACACTGGCTCATCTTCACCACACCTACCATACCCACAGGAAGGTCAAGGGCAGCCCCTCTTGTCCCAGAGCTAGGTGGAGGCGAAGGTCCAGGGGCCTGAGGAGCATGCTGAGGAATGGGAAGGAAGAGCTGCCTCTGCAGGTCCCCAGGACTCCTGTGCTCCTCGTCCACCTCCGAGAGCACCTCAGTGTCACCAAGGCACATGGCTGCCACAGTGTCACCAGGGGACATGGCTGGGTGCACCCAGTCTTACAAAGAGGCGCACTTGTAAGGTTTCTGGAGTGTTCTCTCCCCCTGACACTGACCTAGATTTGTGTTCCTTGCAACTGAATGGCCCACTGTGCTCCTGCCCCACCCCTTCGGCAGGTCTCAGGCTAAGCGTGAGCCTGGAAATGATCTCAGACCCTGAACGGCCACCTCCACAAAACTCAAGTGTCCTTGAATGGGCTGCCTGAGAGAATGCTCTCTAACCCCTCCTCTGGGCCGTCCCCAGGCCCATCGGCCCTGGCGCTGCCTGCCCTGAGCTCAGACCCAGGCCTTTCCCAAACAAACATCTCAGTGTGAGCTCCACGCATGAAGGCAAAGCGAGCTCACTGCATCATCTGCCATTTACCAAATAGACTTCTTCCTATCATAAAACCTGCAGCCCATGCACGTGCGTACATGCTTATACATATGTGTCCCTGGGCACACATGTACATATATGCACCCTGACATACAGGCAACAGGTATGGACAAGCACACACTCACACACAGAAGACCCCCGGGTCCTTCTTCTTGCATTCCTGGCTGCTCCCCTGGGCCCAGCTTCAGCCAAGGCAGCCCCTGGAGCAGGTAGGCTGGGGCTGCTGCTCCCCACCTGGCCTCCGTGGAGCAATGCAAGAGGCTCCGCTCATTGGCTCAGCCTCCTCTGAGAGGCTCAGCGAAGGTCCTGGTGAGGGAGGGAGTGCTCCAGGCACATGCAGTGCTGCAGGCATTTCCTGATGGCCTTGCCTGAGGATGGATGAGGGAAGGTGACATTTTCTGAGAGGACGGAGCTGGCGGGGCCCAGGCGCCCTGTGATCCACAGTTGAGTTCAGAGTGTGGGGGACCTGGGGTGACTCTGGGATAAATGGGTGCCCTCATTTCAGATTTCCCAGCACAGATGGAATCAGAGTGAACAGAAACGGGAAGCACCAGAACCGAGGCCAGGCGTTTGCCCAGTGGGATGGAATCATTGTGGTGTCTGTGGTCCAAATGCTACACATCTAGGTGCCCTGTCCCGGAAGCAAATGTGTATTTTTGTATATTTTTGGCTTTATCCAGGTCCTGCTAGAACTTTTTAAAATTCACTACATGTGGCTACTGAGGGACAGACGAAAGCGCAGTGGTGACTGGTATGTTTTAGCAATAACCAGCCCCAGGCGGCCATGGCCTGTATGAGGCAAGCCCTGGTGAAAGAGGCCTGATGGGGCTCAATCCTCTTTGGTGACTTCACACTGGGACTTCCCACAGCACTGAGCAGCACAGACCAGTAAGTAATTTCTGGGACATGAGCCACTGGTGGGCCTCCCGCTTTGTCAAAGCCACAGGGAGACTCCGGCCCTCTCCCTTGGAATTCGATCATTAACAGGGGCTGAGAGAGCAGAAGCCTTAAAACCCTCCCAGCTCTGGGGTAGCAGCTCTGTCTCCTGCCCTGGACCAGCAGTGTGGCAGAGGTCTGCAGAGTCAGGCCCCTTCTGCCCCTTATTCAACCGTTGCCTTCAGGCAAGAAATCGCCTTCTCTGCATCAAACTCCCTTCCTTATGATAAGCAGAAGATCGAAGCCTGTCTTTCTCTCATCCTCACATGCTGGTTGGAATGCACATGGAAGCACCGTGGGTGTGAAGCCAGTTGTCTAGAAGCACACATCTGTATGCAGCCCAGACGCTGCCCCTGCTGAGGCGGGGGTTCCCTAGAGCCACAAGGGTCTTGGGGGCGGACTCAGACCCCGTGAACAAGGTTCTCCATAATACTACAGGTTCTAGAAATGACAGTGAGCACAGAGAGTCCAAGATCAGATCTGGAATTTCAAAGCAGACACCCTGCTCTCACCCATTTTCTAGTCAATTCTATATAACTTCTCTCTTTCCATGTGCAGAACTGATGGAAAGTCACCACTGCTCCTCGGAGACTTCTCATTCCTTTAAACACATCTCGACACTTTTGAGGCAGGGCCCCAGAGCAGGCGTGGGCCAGGCAGGGCAGCGGATGGTGGTCTGGGGCTTAGAGTCACCGGGCCTTCCCGGGTCTGTGGTGCAAGGCACTGGTTAGACATGGGGCCTTTTATTCTCCCTTGCCAAACGATTTCACAGGATTGGAACTCTCTTTAAAATACTCCATGCCAGCAGTGTAAGAGACCAGTGTGAGGGTGAGGACGAGTGCTGGGGATGGCCTCTTCTGTCTCCCTTTCCTCTGCCTTGTCTTGAAGGCAGATGGCTGATATCTGCACCCAGTTAAAGTGGAAAGCAACCTGAAAAAGCAGAGAAATCTGGGAACCGCATCTCACAACTCTTCCCAGTGGGCAGAGCCGGGCTGTGTGTCTCCCTATGCAGATGGCTTTATGTCTGGCCAGCATCGAGCGCTCTTGGGGGTGGAGGATGGAGGACCAGGCACCTGACTGGGCTTGTCACTTTCTGGGATAAAAGCATTGGGCATACCATGTGGACAAAGTTTTCTGTCCCCCAGATCACTGAAAAGCCTGGCTATTTTCACATCACTCTCTGCCCTGGGAATTAAGTCTCCACCAAATGGGGGCCGGGGAAAAAAGCAGGAGCTGGAAGCATACCCTTGGGCATCCCTGCTGTGCTGAGGCTGCCTGAGTGAATCGCAGTGGGGGCGGGTGCCTTGCCACGCAGCTGAATGCAGAACTGCCCGAGTGTAGAACCAAGGGGCCCCGGCTCTGTCCTCGGCTGGTCTCTGCATCCAGCCAGCAGCACAGTATCAATGCTGTGCACAGCTCCTGTTCTTCTCTCCATGGGCAGCTTTAGCTCCAGTGTGCACTTCTGGGATTTGTGCATCCCACATAAATTCCAAGAAGTAAACACCGCCTAGTCTCCATCCAAGTCTTGAGAGTTTCCTGTTGTCCAAGCCAGTCTCTGGACAGGACTCACATCTGCACTTCATCAACTCGGAGAGGCGCCTATGCAAGAAGCAGATGGGGCAGCTGAGGGGCCAGCCTGAAAATGGCCCCACTTTCTGGAAAGCCCTGTCCTCTGAGAAGTTGCCGGAACCAGCATCAGGCTCTTCTCGGGCCTAATCTGTGGAGACCCTGTCAAAGCATGGGTGACCGGAAGATGAACAGCTTCTTGTTCTACCAAGCTGCATACGCGCTGTGGCCAAATCTCCTGTGCTTCTCTGCTCTAAGATAAACATTCCCGTTTGTCCATGTACGGGAACAGGGGACCCCATGACAGGACCCAAGACCTAGAACACTGACGGACAGGAAGGGTCCTTTGGGTGGCTCAGGGAGCAGAGCCCCATGGCCTGGCTTCCATTCTCCTATGGGACCCTCACAGTCACAGGATAGACAAATGGACATGGAGGAGGAGTCCTCTGAGGACGGGGTCAGTCCTAACTCAAGTTCAGCTACCAGGTCTGCTGCCTACACCCTCCCCCTCTGCTTTCCATGCTGCCACGAGCCAGAAACTGGAGAAATGGCTGAGGGTACAGGGCCTGATGACCTGAAAGGAGCCGCCCGAGGACTTCGTGGGGGTCCCAAACCCCTCCCTGCCCAGCCTGTGAAGAGAGCTGGATGTTTCTGGCTGTTTCTGGGATAAACAAGCAGATACTCCAGTTTCTGAAACCATGTGCTTTTTACCAGAAATTAGCCATTTAAAGAGTACCTAAGATAGTGATTTACATAAATAAGGAGGGGAGTTGATCTAATGGAGACTTGGGAAAACTTTTTTTCAAGGCCTCTATCTACTGCACTGTGGGCTCAGGAACTCAAGAGTGTTTGAACGCCTGGCCCGTCTTCCTTAGAAAAGGGGGCCGTGTGGGGGAACAAGGAGGGCGGACAGGAACACCGGACCCTCCTCCACCCAGCTCCAGGTGCCAAGGGAATGGGATCACAGGGAGAAGAGCGGCTTTTCTCCTGGCAGAAGCTAAGGAAAGAGAGAAAGTGGGAAAAATCCTAAAATAGGTCAAATCCCTCAGGGAACCAATGGAGAGATGTTTCTCAGGACCCATGATTCTCCAAAGAACCCCTGCCTTTCTGGAACATAGGCCTGGTGACATGGGGAACCTCGCCTTGCGAGCTGTACATATAGGCCCCGTACAAACATAGGATTGAAAGCATTGCAGGCCGGGGCTTCTAGGGCTTGCTGGGCCCCTGCCTGGCGTCCACACAGGCTGGGAACTCTCTGGAGCTCTAGAAGCGGGAGGTGAAAGGTAATGGCTGAGGAGACCAGAACCACCTGTGCTCTCACTGAGGTCCTCTCACCCCCTACACCTTGGGACAGCACAAGAAGACAGGAAAGAGGCAAGGGCAGGTGCCGCTACTACCTGGATCCCCAGGGGTTTCACCTCATAACATCTTAAATGCATTTTCACCTACCGAGGTACACGCGAGTGCCTTTTTATTCGTTCATAGCTGCTTTGGGGTGAACGTCCCTGTGCTCTGAGGTGGTGGCACAGACCCTCCCACTGTGTTGTTCTGTTGGCTCAGAGGAGTTTGTGCAGAGCAGATGAAGGTCTACCCAAGCCCCCAGTAGCTTAACAGCTCTGTACGAGGTACACCTGGCACGCCACAGTGAAGGGCTTGGTCCCTTATTAGCTGTGCGGATCGACATTGCCATCAGTAGTAGCATACAGCCCAGGCCAGAAACCACATTCATTCTCCTTCACACCCTGCATGGCATGTCCAGAGCCCCATCTTCTTGCACCTCAGGGCCAATGCCCTGGTCTGGCAGTTCTCCACGTGGGGCCCCTGACCTGCCAGATCTAGGCAGCAAGAGAGTCTGAGCTGGGAAATGAAGGCCCATCTAAGGGGGCCCTTCCATCACACCCAGCCGTTCTCCACTGCCCTTTCCCCAAGCTGTATCTCCCTGTGACGAGGGCAGGCCCTGGCACGTCGTGGTCTGGCAGTACCTCTGTGCTGGGGGAATGACTGAGGGCTGGATAGATGACTGGTCACTAGCACCCTGTCTGCCCTGGCTTCGTGCCGCTAGCCCCAGGTCCAGGCCCAGTGTAGGAGACTGCCCGAAGCACTGTGGGCAGCATCTGTCCCTTCAGCTGCTCTGCGGTACCCGAATGCTCAGCTGGCTGTGTCCAAGACAGACAGGTGGGACCGTGGGTCTGTTCTGGGCCAGCATCCCGGGCCCTCCCTTTTGGAAAGGAAGATGGGGAGGAGCCAGGGAGGAGGGTCCGGGAGCAGGACTTCAGAAGGCCCCCCTGCCTTTCCTATCAGGAAACACATCCTGTTAGTGTCTGGCTGCTGTGGCCGGCAGCTATTTGTTGCAGTTGGCTACGCCCTCCAGCTCACCAAAAACAGCCTCAAAAACAACCATTTCCTCTCTGCTGAGAGACAGGGGGAAAACGAACTTGTGGCTACAAGCGCGCGCGCACACACACACACACACACACACATGCGTGCGCGCTCACGCACGCTCACTTCCCTGCAGCAGGCTCTCTGCTTTCCAGGACCAGCTGTTTTGTGGCGGAGGCACTAGGCAGGGGCTCAGGCAGCACAGAGGCCTCTGAACCCACTCTGTTCCCCGCAGCCCGGCTCAGAGCTACCTTGCTGGCTTTGCTCTGAGGGGTGCTGTCAGCAAACTGAGGCCCGGCTGATCTGACATTGACACTTGCTTCTCTTCTTCAGTTACCCTCTGTTCTCCCGCGTGGGGGAGAAGAGGCTTCCAGCGTCCCTGGGCCTCTGCTTCCCAGGAAGACGGCGCACTCAGGACACTGGACTCTTGCTGGTGCCCTGCTGCCTCCCTGGGATGGGCCAAGCAGCTGCCTTCAGCTCAGGCCTGGCCCTGTTCCAGGTGCAGGAAGGAGGGTAAAGAGGACCGTTAGGTGGGCTCCCCTGCACCTGTCACACGGGCCTTCCCGACCCTCCAAGAATGAACGGTGATGTCCTCTAGCCGTCTCTAGCAGCATCTCAGTTCTCCCTGGCCATAGCAGCTGACCAGGACTGGGACTTTCTCCACGACAAGCAGACAGCACCGGCAGTCAGCGATGACTGTCCAGAAACTGGTGGCCACAGCCGTGCTGGTGGCCCTGGTCTCTCTCGTCCTCAACAACGCAGCAGCCTTCACCCCCAACTGGGTGTACCAGACGCTGGAGGACGGGCGCAAGCGGAGTGTGGGGCTGTGGAGGTCCTGCTGGCTGGTGGACAGGGCCCGGGGCGGGCCGAGCTCCGGGGCCAGGCCGGGACAGGCAGATGCTCGGGACTGCGAGGCCCTGGGTTGGGGCTCCGAGGCGGCAGGCTTCCAGGAGTCAAGAGGCACTGTCAAACGTAAGTCTGTTTTCTTTTCTGTTTTCTGTCTCCTTTAGAGTGGGCAGAGCCTACTAGCCCTACACGGCCCTCGGCAGACACAGGTTGTGTGTTTGCTGACAGGTGAGGGGTAACACTGGCTTTTGGGGAACATGGGGAGGCCCCGAGCTCCATGTCCACCCTCTCCTGGTGAGCCACAGGCATATGTCAGTCCTGCTCAGCCCAGACCTGCCTCTGCTCCTTCCTGAAAAGAGTTTTTCTCATGCAGCACTGGGCTTTTCTCTGCCATTATGCATAGCTAAAAGACAGATGCATTAACCAAATCAAGGAAAATAGATTTTCCTGGTGGAAATTAAGATCGTTAATAAGAAAAATAAACGAGAAGCTTAAGAACACGTGGCTGAGTTCTGACTTCCTTCCACAGTTGTCTGAGTGGTTAAGGTGGTGAGCAGTGCAGGGGGAGATTCACCGGGACTAACCGTATGTGGGACCACTGATCAGCAGCAGAGGCCGGCTCAGGAGGGCAGAGCCCTAACTCCATCCACTTCGCTGCCTTATCTTGGGCCCTGGTTGGTCACATTGGGCACTGGGTCTACCACTATTCTGGAAGCTGGGAACTTGACTTTGAAAGTAGTCAGGTTTATGACCATGGGAGGGAAGGGTTCTCTAGTATGAAGATGCTTGTCATCTAAACATTCCTGGTGGTTGATGGACAAAGGTCTCCCCTTTAAATTGATGACCCTTTAAACCGCTGAGGGTCTAACTTGCAAGTAGGTCTCATCTGTTCTGAAGACAATGCTAGTATTTTAGGAAATGTGATATACATGAGGCTGCGGCATGGTCTTTGTTAGATGCTGTCGGGGGGGGCCCCCAAAGTCCTCAAGCAGTACCACATGTGATGTGCTCAGTGTGTGACTGTCCCCAACTGCCATGGGCTCCGAAAAAATGCAAGGGAACCCAGGGTGGATGACGCTGTGGGAAGCATAGTGGCTGGGCTATGAGGTCCCTGGGGGCATGTAACAATGCTCTGTGCGCTCAGAGCCCCTTGCTGTAGCTTGAGGAGGGTCTTCCGTCGTAGGGTGGCTCTGACCGTCCGTCCTTCCTACTTCGAGAGCAGGGAGTAAAAATCTCTCTTTAAAAGATCAAAGTGCATGAGTGATTTCAGAATTTTCTATGAGCTCTCAGAACTCAGGAGCCTATGGGAAACTGGATAAATGCAGCTGGACTTGAGTTTCTGTGTGACTTGCTGCTCGAGAGCAGTTCTTCTGGTTTTGGGACTGTCCCAAGGAGACATGAAAGCCAGGGCTCTGCAAGGCCCACACCTCTCCCCTTCCCCCAGCCTGAGGTTTCCTCCATCTCCTCTGTCCCCATGCTGAGGCCTGGTCACCTCAGGCCAGGAGGACACACAGGGGTCCTTCTGACCCCCACACAGCATGGCCCTTGCCTCTCTCCCACCCTGCCACGTGTCTCGTGTCCTGAGCAGCTCCACTCACTTGCCCTTGTTTGCCATCCCTCCCTGACCACTTGATAAGCTCCCTGACCAATTTTTAAAATATCCTCTCGCCACTAGCATGACATTTGTGGCAGCTGACCTTTAATGAATCTCTGAGCATCAAATATTTGTCTAGAACAAGGGAAATGTCAACAGAAGCTTCTCTGACCGAGACTGAATTGAGGAAAGTGAGCCAACTTCACACCGGCTCTGTGCAACTGAATGCAACGTGAACAAAGAGCAGCAAGTCAGTGTCCCGGCCCTGGTGGTCTGGAGCTGGGGCTGCCCTTATGTCAAACCCGGCCCAGTCTCATTAACTCTCATGCGAAACCCCAGCTCAGCCTTCACCTCCGATCTAGCCAGGCACAAAGATTGGGAGGAAGGAGCAAGATGTCCCTGGATGATGCCGTTGGCTCTGCATAAATACTCTCCACATCATCCAGCAGTGACATGGAGATGGGGTCTGGGTTATAGGGCTAACAGTCCTGGCAGGAGTCAGAGTTCAATTCCGAGCACCCACCTAGGGGCACCAGGGAGCATGGCATGTCCCTTGTCACATGTCACTCATCCTGCTTTGCTCAGAGAGCCAAGTTGTCCTAGAGATTCCAGACATCACGATAGGCAGCCAGGGCAGCAGCTTGGGGACAGCAGACAGGATCCTGCCCGCTCTGTGCCTGAGGTCCTGGCAATCCCGTTATGAAGCTCAAGAGTTGCTCTACGTTCATTGTGGCAAACATCGAGAGGGGCCATTGCCCAATATTCTGAGCTCTGGTCAGAGCCCTGGACATCCTCAGTGTGCTGAGTTGGGGCATGGGAGCCAGTCCAGGTTCTCCAGCTGTCCCTACATCATGCTGGGTCCTGTCCCAGAGGATGCTTACTGGGCAGCGTGCAGTGTTTCTGACTTTAATTACTGATCAGGTGGCTCTTCTCTGTGAGGTTTGGATGGGGGAACTCAGGGTACTTGAGGTCCCCGCTCTGGCTCCCGAAGAGATCTTACAACCTAAGTCCAGGGTTAGTCTTACTCTGGTCCTTGTTTTCTCTGCCATTTTTCATCTTCCCCCATTTCATGCATTCTGTCAGGCTCCCGAAGTTCTTCTGGTGAGGTGCATCATGAATAAACATAATTAAATCTTGGGCAGATGGTTGGAGTCCAGTACTTCCTGAGGGGAGTCCCCTGCCCCATCCATAGGTGACTGGCTGGAAGGGTGGCCTGAGTGTCACAAAAGGCAGGCAAATAGAATTTTGGGTCGGGACATATAGTTGTACCACATGCTGCCCGGCTAGAATACATTCATGCCATATCCTCAGTGGACTCCTTAAAATTCAGGTGTTGCTGCCCAGGCTATGTTGTATATAGGTAGTGCAAGAACGTGTAAAATGCCCAGGCATGGTGGACGCCAGCCAGGACAGGTCTCTGGGTGGCCGGGAAGGGAGTATGGCCTAGAGAGCAGAGTCAAGCAGAGCGGCGGGCCTGTAGGCATCACTGATTCATCCTTTGTACCATCTAGACATCTTCAACACCACACGAACCCAGTGACTTGGCCAGAAGCCCCTGCATGGCGGCTTGTCGGGTAGAGATGCCACAGAGCTGTTGCTGGAGTGTGTGGCATGGACTCTATGCTCAGAGCCACCGGGAAGGATGGAGCTGGGCTGAGGAGGATGACAGGGTGGGCAGGGCAGCAGGCATCTTGTGGAGAAGGAACAGCTGGGGTCCCTGGCACTCTATCCCTGGCTCCTGGTAGCCTTGGTCACGTGGCCTCACCATGCCAACACATACTCCCTGCGGCCATCCCCTGGCTCTCGTGTCCACTGCAAGCCACGCCCTTCCTTGGCCAGCAGTTCATTCAAGTCTTTCCTTGCCTGCAAGGCTGAGCTCAGGAGACTGGACAGACTCCTCCGGGCCAGGCTGCAAAGCCAGCAGCCTGCTCTCTGCGCTGTTAACCTCCATATATGTTTAACACCCTCGTTTCTAAGGTCACTTCTACCTCCCGAATTCCACCATCTTTTAGAGAAGCAGAGCCTCTGTATGGTCATATAAATGATAAAAATAATTGCAAAGAAAAGCAAATGTGAAGAAGACACAGCATGGTGAACAGCAGCCTCCATGGGAAGTTAGCTACTTTTCCCAAGCAAAGCAGAAAGGAAGCGTCTGGGCTCACCCCATCCTGACAGGAGGCCATCAGGCCGCCGGTTGTGCCTCCGGGTGGCCCATGAAGACTGAGTGAGCAGCCAGGAAGGTTCTAGCAAATCAGCCTGAACCTGGGCTTAGCCTGAGCTGACATCCTCAGCCTTGGGGGAGGTGAGGAAATCTCAGACCTGAGTGAGCAGAAGCACACGGTGCCACCTCAAAGAGCACTGCTGCCATTCTCTGGAACGCCTAGTCTCTGCTCTTTTCTCCCCAGAATTCTGGACTCGCAGTCTCACCAGGCCTGGCCCTGCTCACACTTCTGGGGCGCCCTCCCATGACTTTGTGCCACCCTTGCCTCCTGTCTCCTAAAGCTGTAAAGGGTCAGAGAGGAGTGTCAGGGTTCCTGGAGATGGCAGTTGTCTCTGTGGTTACTCTGAAAACTATAGATCATGAGCTCAGTTACCACGGAGTGGAGCCCACCTAGGAAGGCGACTGTACCTTTGAGAAAAATGAGCGAGAGCAGAACCCACAGCACGCAGCTTGGTCTACACCATCAAGCTCGCCTCAGGAAGGAGAAAGTTCATTCAGTGATAACTGTCATTCGTCTAGTGGCCTGTGCACGCTCTCTCTCATGCTCCTTGGGTGCTAGACTTTCCTTCTAGAAGCTGCTCTGACCTCCCAGTAGCTGGGGTCTCTGCTATAGTCCTGCCTCATCCACCCTGGCCTCAGAGCTAGTGGCACCACCCGCAGGCTGGAGCAGGCACTGTGAAGAGGCCTGGGATGCTGGAAGGGTGAGATTCTTCAGGCTCTGAATGACAGAGGGACAGCAAAGAAGCAGCGGGATACAAAACGGGCAAGAGGAGTACACCCTCTGTGGCAGGAAGTGGCACTGCTTGGGCTCCGCAAGCACTAAATATGTTGTCTGGCGGTATGGAGAATGAATCGCAGCATTGCAGCCTGACACTGGGTGCGGGGTCGGGGGTGGGGGCAGGCAGGAGGCCGGCAGTCCTCACTGGGCTGTGGTGAGACCACTTTAACAATCTGGAAGGACCGAAGGGAAGGAGTCTGACTGCAGGCGCACGCGCTCCTGTGGGACTTGGGGCACCTAGAACATGGGGAAGTCATTTCTCCTCTTGATGGCATAGCCACTGCCCCTCGCCTTTGAGGTTCATCCACGGGGCTGCTCTGTCCTCCCGCTGCTCTGTGCTTCATATCCCTTGTGCCTCGCTCCTGGACCAGGTGTGGTAGAGGGAGCAGAGTACAAAGAGCCCAGGTTGGCGGGGGAGGGAGATCTGTCAGGTTCTGAGCACAGACGGAGGAATAAGCCCCAGGAGAGAGGGAGCGCCAGCCCAGAGGGGCCCTGCTCTGCACTGACCTGCTGCCTTTTCTCCCTCTCCGCCCCTCACAGTGCAGTTCGACATGATGCGAGCCTGCAACCTGGTTGCCACAGTGGCCCTCGCGGCAGGCCAGCTCATCTTCATCCTTGGGCTGATGGGCCTGCCCCTGATGTTGCCTGATTCCCAGTGCTGGGAGGAGGCCATGGCCGCTGCGTTCCAGCTGGCAAGTAAGTACCTCTGGGCCCCCAAGAGGGGCAGGCAGAGCAGTAGCACCCTCAGCTCCTGTTGGGGTTGAAAGGCCCACTGTGGCTTCGTAATGTCATGGTGACCCCATGGGTCAAGCTCTTTCCCCACCTGTCACCCCACTTGTCACTGTAAGCAGAAATGAGATAGAAATCTGTAAATGGGGAGCTGAGCAGGGAGGGCACTAAAAATGCAAGTAGCACTGGTATTGTATATCTGTAGCCGTGACCCCTGGCCCCTTTCCATTTTGAGACAAGGTGCTGGCAGGCAGGTGACATCCTCTACCTTCCAGAGTCTTAGGCATCTCGTATTTTCTGTCCTCCTGCAGCCCATGTGGAGGGTGGCCAGGGTTCACAACCTCCTGAGAGGGCGTAGCAGCCAGGAGGAACGTTAAGCAGCCTGCCCTGGGCAGAGGGGTGAACCCTGTCTGAGCCCATGCAAGGTGAGGTGAGGTAGCCCTGCTTAGCCACAGAGCAGCCAGGCCCAGGGACATCAGGAAGTGAGCCTCTTCAGAAAAATCTGGAAACCACCACAGCCTTTGCGGGCAACTGTAGGGTGAAATGGGGTAGGGCATGAGCCCACCTTGTTGTCTTGGAAGGGTGAGAACAGTGGTATCATCATGAATGATGAATGGAATTGTTCTGGGAGGTTCCATGGTGGCCATAGAGGCGCTATCACCCCCAGATACAGGAGGGCTGCTCTGCCGGTTTCCCTCAACCTCTGTTCCTTTTGGCCAGCTCAGGGTTAATCGTGGACACTTGGGGAAGTGCAGGTTTTCCGCTGCCTCCTGGGAAAAAGTCAGGTCAGTGATTCAAAAGGGACAGAAACTGTTGAAGTGGCCAGAGTGTGGGTGCCTTAGCAGCCAACCTACTTGGTGGGGAATGGCAGCATATTTCAGTATTGAAGGTAAAGTTCCAAAAGACCCAGTAGAAGAAATGGCAGGAAGTCCGAAGTGTATCATTCTAAGAACAATGAATCCTGGCCCTTATCCTTCTGGAGAAATACAATTTCCAGAATGAGGCTGACATACTGGCAGAGGCTTGTGTGCTGCAAGCGCCTTGGTGGGAATCAGAAAGCCCTTCCTTTGCCCTGTTTACAGAAGGTGATGTGGTCCTGGGTTGGTCACCTCCCCACACGAGATGGATTTGGGAGGGGGTAGCTGAGGGCCGACCAGGGGAGAGCACAGGGTTTGGCATGAAAGGGACTGGATTGCATCTTGGTTCGATCACTTATTAACCATGTGACCCAATTCATACCTCGGTTTAACCAACTTCAAGGCAGAGATGAAGTTTGCCTCTCCCTGGACTGATTTTGAGAATTAATGAAGCAGGGGGAATGGGATCTCAGATCATTTCTGCCTTTGCCCATTCTCCATGACTGTGGGTAAAACCTTGGACATTCCAAGCGACAGGAACATGTTTAAGAAAAGTACCCATATGACCTTACAGCTATAAAACAGAATCAGTTTCTCTGTCTCACTGAAACCGCTTGTCTACATCACGGGAGATTATCTGAAACTCTATCCCTTTAAGAAGGGGGTGGAAGATTTTGAAACATGATTGGAAAAGCTAGATTAAAAACAGGTATTTTAGTGGTGTTAAGGAAATGAAAGTAACAGTTCTTGATCTGAAAAATAACTCCTAGCAAGATAATCAAATCAGTCATTGTATTTCTCAAGCAATTTCTTTGAAACACTTAGAATTATTTGGAGAACTATTGTGGGTTTGTGTGAAACTGACATCTTACTTCCTGCAAACCCTAATTGTAGAACAAGATAGTGCTGTTTACAAATAACATTTTGAAAAAATTAGAAAGCAGGGGGAAGCTCCATAAACTAAAATCAAGTTGTCTTGCAGCAACCCTGGGAGTGGGGAGCTGCCAAAGGTCTCTTGAGGGGCCCGGGCCTGGTGAGGTGGGGGCAGCGGGGGTACTGTGGTCCTCTCCTGAGTATTTCTAGGCCTGTACAACCTCCGGAAAGATTGGACCAGTCTCTATTAAAAAAACCATCAGACAGGCAGAGGCTAATGGAAAAAGCCAGAAGGACTGAAGGGCAGCCCATGTCATTTCAGATGGTCCCTCTTGCCTCCACAGGCTGCCTCTCCCCTTGGTGTCTGACCATTACTCCCAACAGGTCTGTTTTGCCCAAAAAGGAAATGCATTTGGCCCTGTTTAGACTTGTTTCATTGACAAACAGTACAGAATGCAGCTATGTGCCTTTCTTCTATCATGCTGCTAATTTTAGAGTTAGGTTTTTTCCTGTGCTCCGGTCTGTTTAAAACAGTCAGGGAGAGACTGAAGGGCGCCAGGATATCCTGTCCCAGGAGGGGGAAATGCCTGCTAGTACCTGTTACGCAAGCCAACCTTGAGTCCCCAGTGCCTGGGCCAGAGGGTGGGCAGGGGGAGAGAATGAGGAAGGGAAAAAAACATGGTGTTAACCCGAGGCCGAGAAAAGCTGGAACTAGCCAGAGACAGCAACACGCTGACAGGAGGGTGGCCTGGCACTGCAGCCTGAGGAGATGGGAGTCTGCCCGCTTGCTCATTCATTCCATAATCGTTTCTGGGCACGATCCTTGCTCACACGATGCCTGGCCTGGGTCTATAAATGGATAGTCCTTCACTCCTGGGCTTCGGCTTCAAAGGGTCCCGTTACGGTGACATTGGGAGACCCTACGAAATGGCCATTTTCCATTTTTGGAGGTCCAAAACATGAATATCAGCCATTACAACTGGTGTGCCCTACTGTGTTCCAGACATAACACGCAAGTTTCCAATTTCTTTGCAGAATTTTCCAAGTGTAATTTTAATTTACTTTAAAAGTGAAAAAATTCCTTTCTGTCCCTTATTTCGCCCCTAACCCATAAGCTGCTGTGAATACCCTGCATGTTCCCTGTGGCGAAAGCACTCTGTACATTAGGGACATAAGCCCGAGGCACCCAAGTTCACTCCCTGTCCCCCACTGGGTATCCAACAGACTCAGAGGCCACATAGTGGCCGATTAGCGGGAGCGGTCACCATGGCGTGGCTCTGCACTGTCCCCTGGGCTGCTGTCTTTCCCACCTCCCTCTCCTTCTCCTCTCGGTTCCTTCTGTCGTAACCAGTACAAGGCAGGCACCAACTCTCTTCTTTCCTCCTCGAGGCCTCTTAGCCTGTCACTCAATTTGTCAGCCATCAAACTTCAAGGTGCTGGAGCCCTCTCTGGAGGGCCCAGAGCAGCTAGAGTGTGACCACGCTTTCTTTGTATTCTGATGACATCAGAAGTGCAAAGTGGGTCTGTAATGGGGACCTGTGGTGCGGAGGCCAATGGGTCGTCCAAGCCCCAGAGCCAGCAGCTATGGTGTGTGGGCCTTGCCTTGCTGGGCGTGAGCGCTCCCTTCCCACGGCCTCGTGCCTGCATGAGCTCTGATCTGGTTCACTACAGACTTTTCTCTTTGACTCTCCTGGTTCCTTCTCTCGCTGCCTCTCTTCAGTTCCTTCATGCCTGTGGTCTCACTGATATGTGCAGGAAGGCACAGGCAGAGCAGGGAAAGCAGTGTTGAGTGGGAGTCAGAGAATGCCACCTATGAAAGGCGAAAGGTTATTCTCGGCCTCTAATTACTGTAGATGCCAATGACCCACGTTGGACGCCTGGAGCAAAGGATGCAGGCAGCTCAGCTTGGTGGGCACCTTGCGGTCTTGAGAATGGCTGAGCTTTCCCAGGGGCATCTGGGTGAGAGTGGGCTCTGGGGCAGGCCACCTGGCTTTGGATGAGTCACTTCATCCCTGTATTCTTTGGGCAGCAGGGAGAGCTACTGCAGGCCTGAAGGGCCATCTTCAGTCACACTTGCTGCTACCATCGTTCTGACTTCCTACTACTGTGCTGCTGGACAACACCACACTGAAACGGTATCAGTTCCCAGACACTTTGTCCGTACTCTGTCAGGACTGTCCACCCAAGCCTGTTGTGAGTGCCAGAGCCCTGCCAGGCCCTCACTCGGCCTGCCCCATGGGCAGACTATGCTCCTGGGTAGAATATGGGGTCTCTAAAGTTTCCTAAGTGTGACCCCATGTAGCCCCCAGGTGCCTGTGGTGGCCCCTGGGCCCTCCTGTTGGCTATGCAGGACTGACTGGCCATGTGTGGCCCAAGGCTGACATTTTTAGGAGGGACAGACGATCTAGTGATTACTTGGGGCTCTGTACTTGGGGCAAATTGCGTCTTTGAAGGGCAAGTCCTTGGCCGTTGATGAGCCTCCAAGGCAGTGAGTACATTCTCTATCAGAGTCCAGCCTTAGACCACTGTGGCCGTACTTAAGCTGGTGACATAGCTAGTGCCCTCCATGGCTTGCCATCCCCTGTCAGTACCTGCTGGGGTGGAGGACCTTTGCACCCCACTACTGAGAGCCCTGGGCAGTAGGCTTTCTTCCTTGGGAGCCAGTGTCTAACCTGATGATGAAATGGGGTCATGGGACGGGGGACCCGAAGGCCAGGCTTCTCATCTGCTCCCTCTCCTAAGCCTCCCTTTCTCATTCCCACTGCTCATTAAAGTCCATATATATGCCACCTCTGATCCTTTTTGGAAAATGCTGGTGTGTAAGTGAAAAAATTCTCTAGCACTGCATTCAAGGACCCTAGAAATGGTGCTCCAGGCTGCACCCATCTGTGCCTTTGACAACTAGGAACATTCTGAGAAAAAAGCAGTCCCCTTTGCAATGTCCCAGCGCCGAGCTTTTAGCCCAAGCGTCCTGCCTCCCTTTAAACACTAGCTATGGGTCTACTAGCCACAAATTTATCACAATGTGTTTCTTCTGAAGCGTGCGACCCTCACTCTCAGGCATCCATGGATTTCTTCCTCTAATATTTAATATTATTTCTAGTTTATGGTTTATCAGCTCTCATTGTAAGTAAGCCTCACCCTCCATCTCTGCAGAAGTTTTAGTCTAGCCTCCTCATCAGTCATGTGAGTGGCCCTTGACCTTTCTCAAACGTACAGTTTTTTTTTCAAAGTAAA